CAGGCTCCTCTCTTGTGGAACCAACTTCCAATCTCTGTCCGTGAGGCTGACACATTGTCCAGTTTTAAAACTAGGCTTAAGACTTTCCTTTTTGCTAATCCTATAGTTAGGGTTGGCTTGGGTTTCCTGAGCTGTCCCTTAGTTATGCTGCTATAGGCTTAGACTGCTGGAGGACAAACTGACCATAATTTTCACTCTACTACAGTCTTTACTTACTCTGCTCAACCTGTTTTGTATTTGTAATTATTTTTCTATCCTTAACGTGTTTTTTTGTCTTTCAGATACACCTGGACCTACCATTCTGTGTTTGTCTCTCCTTCCTGTCCTCTCAACCAGCCGGTCAAAGCAGATGGCCACTTGTCCTGAGCCTGGTTCTGCTGGAGGTTTCTTCCTTTTTAAAAGGGAGTTTTTCCTTTCCACTGTTGCCACTGTGCTTGCTCAGGATGGGAGACTGCAACGAAGCCAAGATTCAACTTGTCTGCTGGATTCCATAGATAGAGAACTTTACTAATTGGCTTTTCTGTATGTGAATGTTCCTGTAAAGTGCCCTGAGACAACTTTGTTGTGATTTTGCGCTATATAAATAAACTGAATTGAATTGAAATTGTTGGCAACTCTTGGTTGACAGAAGAGATGTTGCATCGATTGGACGGAGAGAATCATCCCAAAACGCTCAGACTCCTGAAAAATGTTTTTGGGTGTAATCCTAATTTACTCTCACACTGCTTCTGTTCAAACTAAATTATTTTAAGGGGGGGGGGGGGAATAAAAGTTTCCACTTCTGAAGGGAATCGCTGCTGTCGTAAACCAACTGAACTCCATAGTTTCAAAGCAGTTCGTGCAAATGCTAATAATTAAAGATTTACGCCCCATTATTTCAGATAACGTGGTTATTTTAGCAGAAATTCTCTGACTTTCCTGCAGAAAGTGACTTCAGGTTGGACAGGAAGTGGTAGAACTAGCAAAAATGATTCTATATAGATGTGCAATGTGAAAATTCTGATGGTGTAAAGCATTGTGAAAGTGTTTGCATCAAATGCTTTAAGGTTTGTTTTTTTTAGATTTAAGATAATTTGGGACAGCGGTGTTAAAATTTAGTTGTTAGCTTGCCAGTTTAACTAGCATTCCTCGCAAGAAAGCTTGTTGTCCGCTGACTCGCATGCCAAACTTTAAATGGTCATCACGAGATGAACCCCCAAATGGTTTAGGTCTTACCTCTCCAACAGAACCTTTTGCGTCAACATCAAGGATTTTATTTCAACATCGGCAGCTCTTTGGAGGGGGGTACCACAGGAGTCCATTCTCAGTCCTCTTTTCTTTATACCTGCTACCACTAGGTGATATTTTTCATAAATATGGCATATAGGGGCCAAGATGGTGTAGGGGCAAGGCAACTCGGGACCCGAAGGTCCTGAGTTCGATCCCTCGTGGTGTCTCTGAGCAGGACACCCAATCCCGAATTACTCCCCAGGAGCTTACATAACTGTCCACAGCTCCACCTGGGTGTATCCTAGGTGCAATGGGTTAAATGCAGAGAGACAATTTCGTCTTTGTATGGGAACATACAATGATGACAACATATGACATTTCATTTATTGCACCCTTTCATTTTTACCCTGATGACTGTCAAATTTACTTCCCTCTGAAGCACACTGGTGCACGTTCTATCCAATCTTGTCTTGACCAGTTGGCTGACATCAGGGACTGGATGGCTTTAAATTTCTTAAATTTTAATGGAAAGACAGAAGTCATGCTGTTTCAACTAATGGCACAATCAAAAACTGCTGTATCAACCTTTCCTCTCTAGCCCCGTTAAATAAACAAGTTGTCATTAATCTGGGAGTGAAAATGGACCCTTCCATGAAACTCAACAGCCATGTAAACACGATTGTAAAATCCTGTTTGGGTTTTTTTCCCCATTTGAGGCAACTGTCTAAATTGAAGCCCATACTGTCCAAAAGTAATCTTGAGACAGTCATACATGCTTTCATAACACCCAGGCTTGTTTAATGCAATGCTCTTTGTTTTGAAATCAGTCAGACCTCTATTGCTCGTTTACAACTGGTTCAAAATACTGAAGCCCGATTTTTAACCGGTACAGGCAAAAGCAACCACATTACACCAGTTCTGGCCTCCCGGTTCATTTTCAAATTCATTTTAAAAACCGTTGATATGTTTTTAGATCTTTGAATAGTTCTGCCCCCTCCCATCTCGCTGATCTGCTGCAGCCATATGCCCCACAGCGCTCTCAGGTTAGCAGATCAGATGCTTTTAGTGGTTCCAGGCACTCGTTTTAAGCTCAGAGGTGACAGGACCTTCTCTGTTGCAGGTCTAAAACTGTGGAATGAGTTACTACTACATGTCAGGCAGGCTCCCTCTCTCAGTTTTTAAGTCACGTTTAAAAACTCACTTTTATTCCCTGGATTTTGACACAGAGTTGATTTTAACTTATCTATTCTATAACGTTAGCCATTTAGTTCTTATCTTTACCTATTTAATCTCTGTATTTAATCCTGTGCTCTTTGCTTGTTTTGCTGGACAGCACTTTGGTTGTTCTTGTTGCCATTTTAAGTGCTTTATAAATAACGTGGTATGGTAAAGACTTCATGTGATCTGTAAGTGCTCAGACTATGTTTTGGGGATGACTTTCTGACACTACCACATAAAACTTTAGCTGATTATCGCTAAATTTGACTGAGTTGCAGCCATATATGTGTCGGCTAAGGTTAACAAGCCGTGGCGACCATCTTTAATTGGACTCCTAAAGTAGATGTAAACGTTTACACTGCGTTTCATTAAAATGCATCCAGTGGTTCATGAGATATTTTGCTAAGAAACACACACTAAAAAGAGATTACGATACCATTCGGGTAATAAACTCCATATTTATAAAAAGCTATCAACAGGTAAGCTAACTGTCAGCTCCCTACTTTGAAGTGTTGTAAATATCCCTTTAATATTGGATGCAACAAAGGAAACATAAGCATGTGGTATAAACATTTGAATTATGTTTGAATCTTTAAAAAGAACACAAAAAAAAAAACCCAGAAAGAATAAGTCTGTTTTAGAATTAAATATATTTATTCATACATTTAAAAAGTACAGCTTTGAAAAGTTCCAGAAAATTTTCATGTGTGTGTCCAATTTTAAACCTATTAAAAAAATTAAAAAACATATACAATCAATTCAAAACATTTTTGTTTGCAATGTTTGGCGCCTTCTAGTGGTCTTTTCTATCGATTGATGATCCATTGGTCTCCCGAGTGTCTCTCTCACACTTTCAGGAGTAACAGATTTGCACCAACGAACAGTTTTAACAGTTTCAGTGCACGACGCTTTACAACATTAGATGTTTTTATTTAACGCTTTGCGTCACTTCACCCTGAAATGAATTCTCTGTAACAAATTTAAGGCAACAAGTCAGGCGTTTACGATTTGGTTGTTTCAAATTAACGAGAAACTTAAAAAGTATCACGATGACACAAATATACAAAAAAATAATAATGCAAAAACAGTGAAACACATTTCATATATGCTGAGATTTGTGGTGGTTCTGGACTAAACTGGCATCTCTCCAGCTGCTGAATACAGACTCATCATTCATACTAAGAGCTTAAAAAGGTTTCAAGCATTCATGAAACCTCTAATGTAATAAAAGTACAGTATTCCTTGAAGTACTGCACATCACCCGCCCTATAGTTGTGGTTAATAATGTCATAAATAATGTTTGGCAGTTTCCTATGAGATACGATTACTTTCTACTAGACCAGGGGTCTGCAACCTGCGGTTCTGGGGCCACATGCGGCTCTTTTACCTCTCATCTGTGGCCCTTTGAAGCTCTGACCAAAACTAACGTGATACTGTATTTTTTTGTCTTTATACCCACAATAGAAAAAGCGCGTTTTACCTTCTTTCTTTTTTTTTTTTTGGGGGGGGGGGGGGGGGGTCGCAGTTTTTAAGGGGGTGGAAAGGGTTATAATGGGGGGGGGGGGGGCGACTGGGGGG